CCTCCGTGATTTCCTTGTTTAGTGATACACAGCCAAACACAGCCAAACTCAACCTGAACACACACAGAGTCACAGCCGATTGATATTGAGTAAGAAAAAGGTTTATAGGTTGATAAACGCCGTGAGAATGGGTCTGCAGAGAGAATTTCGCGCGATCCCAACTGTCTTGTTATCAGCCTGCAGCAGGGAGCAGAAATCAGCAGGGCTGCCTGCACTGAGTGTGTGTGTGGATTGGTCAATTTGGACCAATCAGCGGGGGCTTAACGTAACGGCTCCGCGGATTGGCCCATTTAGTTCCGGGTACGTGCTACCCGGAAGAATCAAATGGATGATGACGTCATGATGACGTTTCACCAACGAGGCGTTTTGGGGAGGTATTTTCTGTTTTAGAGTTTTACTCGCTACAGGGTGTACTTTGAGGGTTTTGACTCTGCACACCGTTTACATGCAGAAAAACCTTTATAACACACAAGGGGACGGGTAATAACCGGAAAAGCATGACATGTGACCTTTAACTACATCTGAAAGCAGAAGTCTAGGGCAAATAATTGCAATTATCTTCAGTATGCATGTCACAAAATGAGATGCATTGTGGGACATGCAGTTTATAGGCAACATGCTTCTGTAAAGCGGCGTGTAACTGTATAATAAACTTATTTTATTCTTTCAGAGCACTTGCGGGCCACATAAAATGAAGTCGTGGGCCGGTTTTGGCCCCCGGGCCTTGAGTTTGACACCCCTGCTCTAATGAAACCATCAGATGCTTTCCATTTTATATGCCACTGTTTTTGAGACAGTTCTGAAACTATGCCTCTCCAATTTGTGGTTTGTGGTGCTCAAATTGTTTCACATAAAGCCAAAACATTATTTGAGTTATTATTGATGGTCAACACAGATAATGGTAAACCGTTGACACTATTATTGTGTGGTGACTTCATTAGGACTTTAGGATGTTATGCTGACTATAAAATCAACTCTAGACAGTGTGGTATGTGGGTTATCTCAAATACCTTTGAAATTGGGTGTTGGAGGTGTTGCTGTTGAGTTTTTCAGCAAGTTCTCAAAACAATTTTCTAGGAATAAGATCTTGTTGTTGAGATATTTGGGTCTGGAACATGTAGTGTTTAGGCTAAAAGACAGATTCCCAGACATTGCTTTCTCTAAAGACCAAACCATAGAGTGGTGCAGTGACGAGTCCTAAAACCCGGAAGTGAGTTAGCATGTTATCACTTCCGGTTCCTTTGTCTCAGAGTCAATGGGGTTTGACCATAGGATTTTGGAAAATAGCTTGAAATAAGGTCTGTGGTTGACACAAATTTAAGAGACGGATCACGTTTTTTTCTAGGGCATTAATACATCAGCAGTGACCCCACTGGTGATTTTTGAAGAGTTTACATGTCTGAAAACCGATGGTTGTTGACAAGTTGCTGAATAGGACTACAGAAGTTGTTGAGGACGTTGAACGCCATTACGCCGAAAACGTAAACACTCCCGCTAAGTTTGTTTGTCCCTTTTCTGCTTGAAAGCAAGTACCTGCCTCCTGCAAACTGTTCAAACAAACGCTTCAACTTGTACAATTTTCAATCTGTATTTTTGAATATCGATCTTAAGTTGGCGTGAAGTTGAATTTGTGCGACCATGCTGTACTCGGCTGTAGTTTGTTTATAGCATAACGTTAGCATTTTGTTTCTGGCGATTAGATTTATGATTCGAAAATGATAAAAGTAGGGTAGACATTAGGGCTGATACGATACGATACACGATATTCAGCTCACAATACGATATATATCATGATATTCAGCCAACGATACGATTCGATACGATTCGATATACAGTGGGGCAAAAAAGTATTTAGTCAGCCACCAATTGTGCAAGTTCTCCCACTTAAAAAGATGAGAGAGGCCTGTCATTTTCATCCTAGGTATACCTCAACTATGAGAGACAAAATGAGAAAAAAAAATCCAGAAAATCACATTGTCTGATTTTTAAAGACTTTATTTGCAAATTATGGTGGAAAATAAGTATTTGGTCAATAACAAAAGTTCATCTCAATACTTTGTTATATACCCT